GTAAACCAGCAAAAGAAACTATCTCCATTTTTCTGTGTGTGTGTGTGTGTGTGTGTGTGTGGTAACTCTGCCTTTCAAATAAATCTTTAAAATATTTGCAACAAAGGAGTACAAACTGCTGATTCATGAAAACTGGATGAATCTTTAAAGGTGTCATTTTTTAAAAAAGATTTATTTTTGAAAGGTAGAGTGACAGCAAGAGAGATATCCTCCATTTCTCTCCCCAAATACCAACAACAGCCTCCTGGCTAAAGCAAGGAGCCCAAAATTCCATCTGGGTCTCCCACTTTTTTAGTATTGACCATCATGTACTTTAGTACTTACACCATCATGCATTGCCTTCCTACGTGCATTAGCAGGAAGCAGGATCAGAAGCACAATAGCCAAAAGTCAAACGAGACTGATATGGGACATGGGATGTGTGCATTGCAAGAAGCAGCTTAAACTGCTGAGCCACAGCACTGGCCTCTGGATGACTCTTTATAATAATGTGGTATAATGAGATTTACATAGCACAGTACACACTATAAATTCTACTTAGGTGAATTTCTAGAACAGTTAAGCTAGTAGAGGATGAAAAATATCAGGAGAACAGTTATCTCTCAGGAATGATGGGCACTGACTTAGAAAAAGCCTAAGAAGTGGCTGGCGTTGTGGTATAGCAGGTAAAGCTGCCACTTGCAATGCCAGCATCCCATATAGGTGCCATTTGAGTTCTGGCTGCTCCACTTCTCATCCAGCTCTTTGCTAATGACCTGACGAAAATGAGGGAAGATGACTCATGTGCTCGAGGCCCTGCTACACATATGGGAGACCCAGAAGAAACTGGCTCCTGGCTCTGTGGTAGTCGTTTGGGGAGTGAACCAGCAGATGGAGGATATCTTCCTGTCTATCCCTCTCTCTCTATAACTGACTTTCAAATAGATTTTTAGAAAAAGGCACAAAGAAACTTCCTAGAGAGAGAATAATGCTCTGTATCCTGATGGGGTTTGGATTAAATGGATGTATACATTTGTCAAAATACAGCTTGTACAGTTGACTCCATGTGAATTTTGCCTCAAAAGGGAAAAAAAGTTACATTAAACTCTAGCTAATGCTAAGGGAACTGTATTGTATCTGTGATTTGCTTTGTTTTCTAGTTTTTATTCATTTGAAAGGCAGAGAGAGTGTTTGCATCTGCTGGGTTACTCCCCAAATGCCAGCAGCCTGCAGATTAGTACCAGGTTGAAACCAGGAGCCCAATACTCAGTCTTGGTCTTCCATATGAGTAGCAGGAGCCTGAGTGCTGGAGCCATCACTTGCTGGTTCTCAGGCTGCACTTCAGTGGGAAGCTAGACTAGAGAGCAGAGCCAGGACTTAAAGCCAGGTACCCTGATAAGGGATGTGGGTGTCCCACATAGCATTTTAACCACTGAGCCAAACACTTGCCCTTGTAAATTTACTTTGAAATGCACAAAAATTAGTATAGATTGCTAAAACTATGGATGATGGATTGATACACACTAAAATATTAGTGGTAGGATGGCAGGGGCAAGTGTGTGGCATAGTGGGCTAAGCTGCCACCTGGGACACCTGTGTCCCTTTTTGGAGTGCTGCTTCTACCTCTGCTCCGACTCAGCTCCCTGCCAGTCTGTCAGTCATGCTGTTTTTCAAGTATATTCAAATAATCAAACATTAGAACATTTATATGAAGTTTATCTAAAAGTTCATTTAATTTATATAAATATCCAACTCCAGAGATGCGGAGAACAGAGCTCCCAGCCAAGTTTCTGAATGTAAGGAGTATTTACTCTTTGGTAGCAAGATAAGCAGAATAGCACAATATAACAATGATTTTCATGAAGCTAAATTTTAGGTACAGTTTAGACAATCATTCTTTATTCTGGGATTGTTTCAAGAGTTTGTGATGTTATAATATCTTTTGCTTACAAATGATGTTAATAGATTTGGTCTGCTACTATACTGCTGCTATAAAAAAATGGCTATTGGTCCCTGAAATTAAAACAAAAAAATATTAAAATACACCTCCTTTGGGCCCTTAAAATGCAGATATTTGCTCCAGAATTTCTAGGTAGAGCTGAAACACAATTGCTTTGTAGTTTTTAAATCTGCCTCAATGTGTATTTAAGAGCCTAATGGGCATCCTGTATCCTTGAGCAAAGGAAATAAAAGCAAAATAAAATAAAGTAAATGAAATGGCAGCAAAGATTTCCTACCAACTCACCCAGCACCCACTGGTGGGAGGAAACTCCAGGTTCTTCCAAAGTTCAGAATTCAAGATAAGACACACACACACCCCCACACACCCAGTTATCAACTCTTGCTTATCAGTGAGGGGGACAATGAAGACAATGAAGAGTATGGCTTCTCAGGGCCATGAATTCAAGGTCGCAGGGGGGGGGGGGGGGGTGAAAGAAACCTGTCCAAATTGGGAATTTATTTTCTAAGGTATAGTGAGCTGGAGATTTTTCTTCCATGATTATGAGTTGTAAATCTGCTGGTTAAGCTTTTGAGATTATGAAAAAATAAATAAGACCTTCAACAATTTGTACTACTGCTATTACCTAGTGTGGTTAACAGTTAAATTAAAAGCACAAAGCAAAGTTCCAACAAATTATGCCTCTCTCAAGGAAGTGTGTGTGTAGCCTTCATTCAAAAGTGCGTGAATTTGTTCAGCAAACATTAAGTGGTTACTATTTGCCATTTTGATGGGTGCTGTGTATTTAAATGTGAACAAGACAGTTTTGCCCTTACATGGCTCACAAGATGGGTGTACAGTGTAGTAAGTGCTCTTACTAAGGATGAATGCAAATTTGATTTTTAGGGGAAACTGCATGAAGACAAAAGTAGAGTTTGAGTGGTGAATGGCCGAGTGTTCAGAAAAGAGTATTCAAGGCAGAAACTTCAAACTCAGCAGATGGGATGATACTGGAAGAAAAAGATATGCTCTGGAATCACAGATATGGGCCTAGCAATTTTAGAAGTTTGGGAATCTGAATTGTAAATCTGCTTTGAGCAGAATTCCTTACCCATAAGTGAAGACAAAGAAAATACGCCATCTCCAAGTGCCTTTTCTAAAATTCATTATCTTTGTGACTGTTAATGAAACAGCATGTAGCTGAAAACCCAAAACTAGAGAGGCTTGGAGGTGGGGTCGGATTAAAAGAAGCAGAGGAGACTGGGTGGAGTCAGCCACGTCAAACCACGACAGACAGAGAAGCAATCTTAAAGCAGTGTTTTTCAAATCTGCTGCCAAGGCAAAGACTGGATGCAAGTGTGCTACCAAGCAGAATGGAAAAATTATACCAGCTGTTTGCTGTTTTCCTGGGTGTATTCCAATTTGCAAATTGTCTGAAAAATGTGTAGTTGTTTTGATTGTTCCATCAGGACATCCCTCTTGATTGCGGCGCCCCTGAGGTTGTGTGGTGGAGGAATAGCTGGTCTTCCAAAGGGAAGTTCTTTGCAGATGCATGTCTCTGGGGGTTCACAGTCTGTGCCAGTGGTGTTCCCTCACTTCTAGGTATTCTTAAGTTATTGTTGGCATCAAAGTGTAGGACTGACTGTAGAATATTCCTAATGCCTAATGTGCTGATTCATACAATACAATGACTGGGGAGATTCAACGCCCCACTATTATCAGTGGATAGATCATCCAGACAGAATGTCAACAAAGATACATCAGAATTGAACCCTACTATTGAGCCACTGTACCTAACAGACATTTAGAGAACATTTCACCCAGCAGATACAGAATACACATTCTTCTCACCAGTACACGGAACATTCTTTAGCACAGACCATACGGAAGGCCACAAACCAAGTCTCAGTAAATTTAAAAAGGTCAAAATCATACCATGTATCTTTTTAAACCATGAAGGGATAAAATTAGAAATCAATAAGAATAATAATAGAACATTTACAAATACATGGAAACTGAATGACCAATGGGTCATTGGAAAAATTGAAAAGGAAATCATTCTTTCTTGAAACCAATGACAATGAAAGCCCAGCATTTAAAAACCTGTGAGATACAGCAAAAGCTGTATTAACAGAGAAGTATATACCAATAAATACTTACATTAAAATAGAAAGATCTCAAATAAACAAGCTAATGATGCATCTCAAGTACTTAGAAAAATAAGGACACACACAACTCCAAATTAGCAGGAGGTGAGAAATAAAAAAAAATCAGAGCAGAAATAAGTGATATTGAAACTAAATATGTATATTATATATATGCCCACACACAGACACAAAAGGTTAACAAAAAGTTTTTTTAAGAAGATAAACGAAATAGACAAAGCTTTAGTCAGATTAAGAAAGGGGAAAAATCAAATACATAAAACTAGAGATGAAAAAAGAGACATTACAACAGATACCACAGAAATACAAAGGATAAGAAACTGCTATGAACACATATATGTTAACAAATTGATAGGAATTATATACAATAGTTTTAATGATTTTGTGACTTTTAGAAGTTATTTCATATGAGTCAAGTTGAACATCTTTCATTTGATTATTTCTTATAGCCCTTGCCTATTTTCCTGCCAGATTATGATCTTTTTACTTTTTATTTGTTGAACTCTTTATTTAGAGCCATTAATCCTTTGACTATATTAGTTAAAAATGTTATTGCAAAACCAATAAATAAACTATTAAGTTAAAAAAAAGCAAATTATATTGCTGTACTTCTGCAAAAGAAGAGACAAAAATGCGAATCAGAGTTTCCCAAATTGGAATCATGTTTGATGGCACTATGGGCACACAGATTCTGAGTGAGGCAGGGTAGGGTTAACCTTATGCATGTAAAGTAAACTGCAAATGGATCTTGGTAAAAATTAAGAGTGAGGATAGGAGAGGGAAGAGAAAGAGTTGGAGCATGGGCAGGAGGGAGGGTTGGGTGGGAAGTATCACTATGTTCCTAAATCTGTATATATGAAATACATTAAACTTGTATGACTTAAAGGAAAAAAAAAACAGTTCAGTATAGGGGCTGGCACTGTGGCGCAGTGGATTAAGCCATGACCTGCAGCACCGGCATCCTATATGAGCGCAGGTTTGAGTCCCAGCTGCTCTACCTCCCATCCAGCTCCCTGCTATTCTAGGTCCCGGCTTTCGGCCTGACCTAGTACTCGCTGTTACAGCCATTTGGGGAGTGAACTAGCAGATGGAAGATCTCTTTCTCTGCCTCTAGCTCTCTCTGCAACTCTGCTTTTGAAATAAATAAAAGCAACTCTTTAAATAAAATAGTTCATATACTGTACAACCATGCACATGAATGTGGGTCTAAGGTCCTAGACATTCCCACCTGCAGAAGAGTGAGAAATAAATTTCTGATGTTTTTCAGTTACCCAGTAGTCAAGGTATTTTGCTATGATAGCATGAAAGGACTGAGACATCTGAGAATGTCTCACTTTCTCAGCATTTGAAGGACAGTTTTGGAGATAGAGTTCTCTGTTGATGCTTACTTTGCCTTCCACACCTGGACAATATGAATCATTGGCTTCTGGTTCCCCACTGTTTCTCATTGAGAAATCTGATGATGAATTTTGTGGGGAAATAACGATGAAAGATACCTTCCTCTCAGCTCTACAGATATTAACATGTACTTAGTGGTGTCTTGGGCAACAAAACATTTTGTTGTAGTGTCAGGATGCCAGTGCAGTTGTCCCATCATTCTGAGACCTGTCATTCAGAGATTAAAGAGAAAGGAATGGATATTTTCAGTGTAGACAGTAGGAGCTCTTCAAAAGCCAAAAGTTATTATAGATGTTGAAAATGAAAAGGAAAAGGCCATTGAAACATTCTGTTGGTTTTTATTTCTCAAAAAGTAAGTATCAATCTCTATCACTATCCTAAGGTGGGGAGAAAAGCTTTTGGGATTCTTTCATTTGTTCAATCAGAAAGGTTCTTGAGAAGACTAACGTGGACTGTCTCCAGCTGTGATTGGTCCATTTCTTGCTCTAACATCATAAGGAGCCACTATTATGTAATAATTCCAAATGCCTATGTAAGCCCCTGGCTAGGCCTAGGTTCTTGTCCATTTTGCCCATAAAGCTCTTTTTTGGACCAAGCTAGCTAGTTTTTCACTTGTTTTGTTTGTGTCTGTTTGGATTAGTTTTTCTTTTTTCTCTTTTTTTTATTTTGTTTTTTTCTCCCTTCTATTCATTTTCTTTTCCCCCTTTTTCCTTACACATTTCCTCATTTCTTTTTTGATATTTTGTCATTTATTTTCCTCTTATTTTTCATTGTTTTCATTTTCTCATTTCCAATTCTTATGTTTCCCATTTTTCTCATTTTGTGTTTTTTCTAATTTTTAATCCTTTTACTTAGGACTACCATTTTTTTAAGATTTAGATTTTATTTATTTGAAAAACAGAGAGAGGAAGTAACCTGGACAGAAAGAAATAGGCTAATTAGAATTACTGAATAGAATTGTTGTTAGTATAGTTATTATAGCTAGTGTTGTTTTTCTTTTCTTTGCAGATTTGCTTTTTTTTGTATTTTCTCATTTTAATATTTTTATTTTGATAATTTTAATGATTAGTGTAGTATAGTTAATGTACTGTTGTATACTTAATATAGTTTTATCTGTTAGTAATATTTGCATAGTTAGCATTATTCATTTTTATTTGCTTTATGGTTAACGTAGGTGATTACTTGGGGCTACCAGTATTTTAGAGTAGAGAGGTGAGTCCCACCACAGAAGACCGCACATCCTTCCACCATGAGGAGGAAGTCGTCGATGGAAACCAGGTCCAGTACAGCTTTGGCCAGGAGAGGCTGCCCCACCATCTGGAAAGTGGGACCCAAGTGGCCATGTAAGTCACTCCAAGAGCCTGCAAGGACTCTTCTAGCTTCTACATGTGGGTAAAAGCACACGTATAAGAAGGGTATGCCTCACTCCAACATCATAAGGATTTTGCAGATAAGGCACAAAGCAGACACAGCATTTATTTTCATGGACTATGCGAGGAAGAGAGGCCTCAAACAGAACATGGCTGAGCATGGCCACCTAGGGGAGGGAGAGGCACCCATCCAGTGTTTATTGAGATATTATCAGCTGCTGCAAGATGTGCATTGTGCAGAGACTTAAAATTGGAAAATCGCTCCTTGCTGCTGGCCTGAACATTAATGTACTGTTCAGAGGTCCCTTCACACTCTGATTCTTGTGTTTTCTTGCCCATCAAGGACTTTCCCCTATAAAATCATAATATATCCATTTGATTTTGATAGACACATGACTTCCTTCAAAACTGTAGGCCACAGTCAAGTTTGGCCAACTGTCCCAATAATGAATGTCCTTATGGTGATCTGGTGCAGAATTGAATTTATTTGTCGTGTTTTTAGTCCAGCTCTGCCATCTGCATAGCTCCTGATTCTTTTCTCAGTTTCCTTGGCCTTAACAACTTTGAAGCCCTGTGAACCAGTTATTTTGTAGGATGGGCTGCAGTTTGAACTGACGGACATTGAGGCCATTCAGTGCTGGCAGGATTATTATACAGGTGACCTCATGCCTTTCTCATTGCATCCAGTTAGCTGGCTCAGAGTCACTGAAGATGTGGGCTTTAATCCCTAATTCAGCTGGTGTTGGTCTCAGTGAAGATGATCTTTTGCCATGAGTGTTTTATGAATAAGCACTTTGAAGTAATAGGAATTTCTTAGTCTTTTATATACATAAATAAGTCAGTTTATTTATACCATATAGACTCAAGTTGATTCTGTAGGTCATTATCTATTATTAATGTTTATGTCCAAGTTGTCCCAGATTTAACCAGCAAAAGCATAGTCTAGCTGGATCCTGTGACCTTTGACATGTGCAACTTTCTGCTGTGCCCCATAGGGGTGGGAGGGGGTGTCTTAGCCCCTTTGTGCTGCTGTAACAAAACACCCCACGCGGAGCAGTTTGTGCAGAACAGAAATTCACTGCTCACAGTTCTGAAGCTGAAAGTCCAAGATCTTGGTTGAGTGCATGGAGAGGGCCAGGGCTCTGCTTCCAAAGCAACTTGTTGCTGCGACCTCTGGAGAAGACCAGCTCCGTGCTTGCCTGCTGAGGGGGCGGGAGTGCAGCAGGGCCTTAGGTTCCCACACCTGAGTTGTGGGAGTTGTGTACCTTCAAGCAATAGGAAGAAGGGGCTTCCTCTCCCAGGACGGATGCCAACCTTGCTCAGCCCGCCCAATGCCTGCAGGACGACATCACGCAGAGGAAGGAAGGGCTCAGCCATGACTTTTTAAATTAGTGGGTGAAAACAAGTGTACGATGTTACTGACTTTTGCATCAAGTTCCTCCAGCTGTTAGTTATATTTTGCCTCTTTTTCCAGAATAATCTGCATTTCTCTGGGTGTGAAGTTATGATGGAGAGTCTGGCTGCATCAGAAAAGCTGTATCAAAGAGAGTCAATGCTTTCTTATATTTATTCTAAGCATCTATCTTTGTTTAGCTCAGTATTTCTCAGCTGGACCACCTTTGGCATTTATAGTGGAAATTCTTTATTGGCCCAATATATCATGAGATATTTTATGCCCCCTGACTCCCTACTCACTATTGCCACCTGAGGCTCCCCCACTAAAAAACTTGGCATATCTGAACACCAGAAATGATGATAAAACACTGCTACATATGTCCAACTGCCTCCCAGGACCCACCCCTAGTTGAAAACCACAGAGCTCTTTGCAGTTTGTGTCACGATGGTTTCCTAACACGGTCTTAGGTTCCTACTAATTCAGAGGGAGATTCACATGGCATGGCTTACCATGAGTCTTCTCTTCTACATCAAATTTGTTGGTCTCGTAAGACCGGTGCTCTCTCTTTCAATCAGGAACTGTCACATCTACCTCGATTTGGTAAATGTCTTCTCTCAATCATATTTTGGGTTCAAAAACCCAAAACCAAATGTTCCTTTATAAAGGGATTCTCTTCTGTCACTGAATTGTTCCTTAAATTGAAGCACATTAAGCCACAAAGTGGCCTGAAAAAAAAAATGTGGTTATACATTTTAAGGGCCTAATGCCACAGAATAAGTGTATTTGTTGGCTTCCTGGCTATGTATTTTCATAGGCGTGGTAAATTTTTTTTGAAGATTTATTTGGTAGATTGTTTTAAGCAAAGCCAACTTCTGACTAAGAGAGCACCCTGGGGCCAGTGTTGTGGTGTAGTAGGCTAAGCCTCCACATGTGGTGCTGGCATCCCATATGGGTGCTGGTTCTAGTGCCAGCTGCTCCTCTTCTGATCCAGCTCTCTGCCTGTGGCCTGAGAAAGCACTGGAAGATGCCCTAAGTGCTTGGGCCCCTGCACCATGTGGGAGACCAAAGGGCAGCTTCTGGCTATTGGCTTTGGGTCGGGTCAGTTCCGGCCCTTATGGGCATTTGGGGAGTGAACCAGTTCTCTCTGTCTCTGTCTGTAATTACCTCTAAAAATTTTAAAAATTAAAAATTAAAAAATAAAAGAAGAGAGCACCCTCTCTCCTGGGCAACCTGAGCCTTTTGCATCTGCTGATGAACTGAAGGCAGAATTATCCCTAATCTGATTGGACAAGGAAGGCCACATGTTCCCCCTGTTGGGAGCATTTCACCTGTCTTCATAATGGGGATGTACAACAGCCTACCTGCTGTGGGAAGAAGCCATACCTGCCATCTAGAAATCTACCCTTCCCATGGAAACAAAAGAACTGGAGTTTGCTTGTGTTTTACTCTTAAATTATGAATGTAGGTACTCTTTTCAAAGAGAAAAAAAAATTGTTTCCCACTCCAGAAACCAAATATAGGAAAAGGAATCAAGCTTCAAGCCATGCTATGTTAGAAAAAATAACCATCACCTTAGACTGGAAAGTAAGCTCCACAGGAACACATGGTGCCCTCAAGGGAAACATGGAGGAGTCTGCTGGCTTGAGGAGAGCCAGTGAAAGAGATGCTTGCCGCTCTTCAAATCTGCATCTGGTCCCCATGCTTCCTAGTCATGTACAGTTAGGTGGGCACCATGTGATTGGCTCTGCCAAGGAATGTCGGCAGAGCTGCGAGCAGAAGTGATGTGTCTGCAGCCCCAGATTGGTGAGGACGTACTCCTTTTCTTCTTTTTTATTTTTTTTAAAGATTTATTTTATTTGAAAGACAGAGTTACAGAGAGAGGGAGGTCTTCCATCCACTGGTTCACTCCCCAGATGGCCACAACAACTGGAGCTGTGCCAATCCAGAGCTAGGAGCCAGGAGCTTCTTCCGGGTCTCCCACGTGGGTGCAGGGGGCCCAAGGACTTGGGCCATCTTCTACTGCTTTTCCAGGCCACAGCAGAGAGCTGGATCAGAAGAAGAGCAGCCGGGGCTAGAACGAAACCCATACAAGATGGCGGCACTTCAGGCCAGGGCTTTAACCCACTATGACGTAGCGCTGGCCCCTTAGGGCACATTCATTTTCAAGCATGCTTACAAATAAACTACATTTGAGTTGCACTAACACTGGACGCAAAATGTTTTCTTAAGGTAATTTTGGCTGTCCCAGGTAATGGAAGACATTTTTACACTAATCTGCTGTGATACCTTCATTTAGAAACCAGTGTTGAGTTTTCTTTGGTTTAGTTGTGAACGAGTTTGAACCAGAGTTGATATTACCCAGTAGCTGGAAGGACCTGATTCGAGTGGGATGGAGTCAACAATGGAAAGACAAACAAGTTAGCAAATGGTGTTAAGAGGACCCGGTTGCCATGTTCCTTAGTGGTTTAAGCCATAAGGGAATCCATTTGAACTCAAAAAAGAAACTCCTGCTCTTTCAAGTGCATGATCTATTTCCTGCTCCATTCTTTTGTTTGCTTTTCCTGGCAACATGGTACCTGTTATTCCAAAAGCGTTCCCAGAGACTTGCAACAGCAGATTCCTGCGTGCCACTTGATGGCCACCTTCAGTTCATTTAGGATCCTGGACAGATGTAACACACACACACACTCTCACACACACCCTAGAGAAAATTGTATCTAACACAAAATACTTCTTTAAAAACTTTTTACAATTTGATTACTTGGTATGATTGAAAAATGGAGATTTTGTATCTCATGTCCTTCTGAACATTTTTTTTTTTTGCACTTGGTGAACAACAAAAACAAGGAAGAAAAAAAAAAAAAACACAGAACAATTTCACACCTAAAATTGAAGGAGTTGATTACTGTCATTTTGATGATGTGCCTTTTATACGTTTGCAGTGGTTAAGAAAGACTTTATGGTTTGGAGCATGAGCACTTTAAAGTGATTCAAAATTATTGAAGAGCTACAAATTTTATAAAGTGCTTCAATTTGTTACTGACTAGAGCAGCAGTGGAACGATTCAGCGGAGCTTTTAGTACCATGCACAGCCTGCAAATGCGCTCATAATCTTCCCAGGTGTCGCTCCGTGGCTCGTGCGGGCTCACGGTGTTCCTGCCCAGAGACTGTCCACCTCCAACAGCGGCAAAGCCACTGCCCTGAAGCCTGCACACCCTGAAAACAGAGCTGACACCTGGGAGAGTTTCGACAGTGCTGCGAACTCAAGAGCAGGCTTCTGCGACAGGGGTTCAAAAAGTTATGTGGGAAATGGATTTAGGGGTGAGTTTATTTTTGGTGCAAATTTTCTTTTTTAATTCTTTTTTTAAAAAGATGTACTTATTTATTTATTTGAAAGACAGAGTTACAGAGAGAGGGAGAAAGAGAAAAAGAGTTCTTCCACCTGCTGGTTCACTCCCCAAATGGCTACAGCGGCTGAAGCTGAGCAGATCCGAAGCCAGAATCCAGGAGCTTCTTCTGGGTCTCCCACATGGGTGCACAGTCCCAGGTACTTGGGCCATCCTCCATTGCTTTTCCAGACCATTAGCAGGGAGCTGGATCAGAAGTGGAGCTGCTGGGCCTCAATCTGGCTCCCATGTGGGTTGCCAGTGCCACAGGCAGAGGCTTAACCTACTACACCACAGTGCCAGTTCCCTTTTATAATACTTGCATACAAGGAGTACTTAAAAAGTTCACAGTGTGTATTGTGAGAAGACTATGAATGCATTTCAATTTTTTTGTGTGCCAAAATAGATAATTGTTTGTGTAAATGCAAGGCACAGAGACAGAGAACAACAGAAAGAGATAGTTTCCATTTACTGGTTTACTCCCCAAATGCCCACAATGCCCTGAGCTTGGCCAGGTTGAAATCAGAAACCAGGAACTCAGTCCAGATCCCCTGTGGGAGTGGCAGGGAGTAACTTAAGCCATCAGTACTGCTTCCCAAGGTCCACTTAGCAGGTAGCTAGAGGCAGGACAACAGGCAGAGCCAGGCATCGAACCCAGGCATTCTGATGTGAAATATAGGCATCTTAACCCAGATCTTAATTGCTAGGCTAAACACGTGTCCCTAAATGTATCTTTTAATTTTATTTTCCATGAAGTTATTGAAATACATTCCAATTGTTAAGTGGCTTTTTTAAAATTGTGTAATTTATTTGAAAGGCAGAAAGACAATGAGACAGAGAGAGAGCTCCCATTTGCTGGTTCACACACTCGATCTGGGCAACTGGGGATGCATCAGGACAAAGCCAGGAGTCGGGAACTCAACCCCAGGTGCAAGTACTTGTGTGCCCACCTGCTGCCTTGTAGGAAGCTAGAACCAGAGGCAGAGCTGGGACTTGAACACAGGCACTTTGACGGAATGCAGGCATCACAATCAGTGTCTTAACCACTGCGCCAAAGTACCTGCCCCTGTTATTTGGCTTTGCCAGAATAAAAAACAAAATCTATTGCTCTAAAATAACTACCAGACTCTTGGGCACGGAATGATAACTCGGTGCGTCTAGGCCCAGGGTTGTCGGGAAAAGGCAGGATGAAAGTGTGCAAAGAGGCCTTGTCTCTACAAAAGGAGACCCCCAAGAGACTAAAGTTTAAAAGTCAGTGCTTTCGAGAGAGGCTGAAACTTTGCAAAAGCCTGTTTTGCTGTTTCTTTCTGCTTTGGCATTAGTTTGCATTATTGTGCTGGTCTTTGATTTACATGTTTTAGAGCAACAGCAAGCCCTGCCTCTATAAAATAGGAAAAAGAAAGCACAATCTTTGAAATTTCAAACGACAGGTGGTTTAGATATTGGTTTGTAATGTGGGGTTCCACTGGAGCTCATGCATAATTTTGCCTTTTCAAATGGATTTACACAGCTCAGATGCATCCGGAAGAGCCTGGGGCTCCTCCGTGTGATGGCTGCAAGTGGCACGGCATTTTGAGTCTTCAGAGCTGGAGTTACTGACCTCAGTAGTTCATTAAGGAGAGGGCAATCTTCAATCTGAACAGCGCTAAATGCATATAAGTCAGTTCAAAGGCAAGACCAGTTCTGGGAGGGATTTGCCACATCTCTAGTATATGAGTGTCTGGCAGCACTGTGTGTCTGGAAAACTTTGATCTGTGTGGTGGCTTCACAAAGGTGCCTCTTGCCTGAGCCAAGGTCAGGGTCCACGTTTCCAGGACTCTTATCTCTCCAGTGTGCTTTTCAATACCATATTGATCATTCATTCTACTCAAGGGCATGATGTGCCATTTTCAAAGAGGATTTAACGTGTTATAGGACATCTTGTAAATAATTTTAAAAACATGAGCCTGCATTTTATGCATTCCAAAGACAGCATTTGCATTGAGACTTGTTGATATAATTAATTGGACTGCACAGTGCCGACATTGAAGGGCACAAAGCATTTCTCCCCAGCACTTCTTGGGCCAGTTTCCTGTGGATGTTAATGTTATCATCTCTGGCTGGAGCCACAGCTCACTTGGCTAATCCTCTGCCTGCGGCGCCGGCACACTGGGTTCTAGTCCCAGTTGGGGCGCCGGATTCTGTCCTGGTCGCTCCTCTTCCTGTCCAGCTCTCTGCTGTGGCCCGGGAGTGCAGTGGAGGATGGCCCAAGTGCTTGGGTCCCTGTACCCGCATGGGAGACCAGAAGCACCTGGCTCCTGGCTTCGGATGTGCAGGCCACAGCACAGCGGCCATTGGGGGAGTGAACCAATGGCAAAGGAAGACCTTTCTCTCTCCCTGTCCACTCTGCCTGTCAAAAAAAAAAAAAAAAAAAAAAGCTTTCTAATAAATTTATTTCCCTCCTTTATTTTCTTCTCTTCTTCCATGTTTGTCTCCTTAAGGAGCTAATACATATATAAACCATTTATCATTTTTGTTATTACTCCTGCCTTCAGATCAGCTTGCATTCCTTCTTCAAACAGGTCCTTCAAACAGGGACCCCTGTTGTTGTTGAGATGGCAGCTTTCTGTTGTTGGGAAAACTGGGATTGATAGTGACTCCCAACTCTCAGTTCTGGGGGAGGCCCCAGGACTGGCCATTGCAAGTGTGTGCACCCAGCTCCCCTCTGAGTGCCCCATGCTGTCCCAGGCAGCTCTGCTCAGGAATTTCAGCCAGGCTCATTTATCCACTTTGTGGTATTTTGATTAAAGAGCAAGCACTCAGGTATTTGTGAACAAAATATGAAAATATCCAGACATTCTGTTTGCATTAAGAAAATCTGGGTGCTAACATATTACATTGCCAAGACTTAGTAAAATAATTAGGAATGAGAGATATTTTTCTTGATTTCCTAAACAGATAATCAGCTGTAACTAAGAGATGTTTACATATTGAGTTAATGGTAGATTTCAGTTCAACTCCAAAGCAAAGCAGAGATGCTAGGAGAGTTTTTCATCTTGCCCCAAGCCTGGTTTTTACAGGCCATGATAATTATGTCCAAATGACCACTCAGTGCTCTTGCCAGAGTTGATTGAAGAAAGACAATTTGCTGCGCTGTATGTATTGCCTTAGGAAACAGTGAGCCAAATTCTCTAAGAGACACTTCTGTTTTTCAGTTAAATATGTTGAATGAGTGTAAGCATTTTATAAGCCGGATATATATATATATTTTTTTTGACAGGCAGAGTGGACAGTGAGAGAGAGAGAGAGAGACAGAGAGAAAGGTCTTCCTTTTTACCATTGATTCACCCTCCAATGGCTGCTGCGGCTGGCGCACTGTGACCGGTGCACCGCGCTGATCTGATGGCAGGAGCCAGGTACTTATCCTGGTCTTCCATGGGGTACAGGGCCCAAATACTTGGGCCATCCTCCACTGCACTCCTGGGCCACAGCAGAGAGCTGGCCTGGAAGAGGGGCAACCGGGACAGAATCCGGCACCCCGACCGTGACTAGAACTCAGTGTGCCGGCGCCGCAAGGTGGAGGATTAGCCTATTGAGCCACGGCGCCGGCCTTAGATATTATTTTGACTTAACCTCTCTGTGCCAGGTAAAGCCCTTGCCTTCACTTTCCAAGTCCTGCCCCTTCTTCTCTGCTGTATAGTCCAGTCAACTTGGCTTAAAGCAATCTCTGCCTCCTTTGAATGCCTTTTACTGTGCTTGCCCAGGTGACCCCTGTGGCATTTACCCCATGCTGCAGACTCTCACTCCTAATATATCTCAATGCATCTCATTTCCCAAGTCTGAGGAACAGTTTCACAACCTTGTCTGCACAAACAGTTCTCTCAGCATTTCCTGAACACAGGTTCATCAGTCGACAGCAGCATGTGAGTTGTGCTAGGCAGTGAGGGCATGGTGAACTTGGACATGACCACCACCCTCTTGAGTTGATCCGTCCAGTACATTCATGAGTCGGAGTCAAAGAATGCATATTATTTGCAGAATCAGGTATAATGTTTGGACCAGTTTGAGGGTCCTGAAGATGCTTTTGAGAAAGGAGCTACGATTCTACTTTGCCTGTTGGCAAGCTTACGTCTGGTAATGGAAGGCCAAGAGCTGGTGTGTATGCTTTTGCTGCAAGTGGGATCAATGAGTTTCTTACAGCTGCTTTTGAAAAGGTGTATGGCACAAACCTATTTCAGTAAGTCCATAGTTGTCTCTTTTAGGCTCTTCCCCCGAACACAGGACCCCTAGAAATCAATATTCATATGCATTGTACCTTTGGAAGCACGAATTTACGGAGTTGTTAGGTTGTTCGAGTGATCAAAGACTGACTAGCAGCTAACTCTTTCCATTTTAGACTATAAGTTAAACTTTTGTTCATTGTTGCTCAAAAGTTGTCAATAAGGCACTGGTGCGTTGAGTTAAGCTTGCAAAACCAGGGTCCCCTATTGCAGTGCCGCTTCGAGTCCTGGCTGCTCCGCTTCCAATCAAGCTCCCTGGGGGCCGGCGCCGCGGCTCACTAGGCTAATCCTCCGCCTTGCGGCGCTGGCACACCGGGTTCTAGTCCCAGTCGGGGCTCCGGATTCTGTCCCGGTTGCTCCTCTTCCAGGCCAGCTCTCTGCTATGGCCCGGGAGTGCAGTGGAGGATGGCCCAAGTGCTTGGGCCCTGCACCCCACAGGAGACCAGGAGAAGCATCTAGCTCCTGGCTTCAGATCAGCGTGATGCACTGGCCGCGATGCACCAGCCGCGGCGGCCATTGGAGGGTGAACCAATGGCAAAAGGAAGACCTTTCTCTCTGTCTCTCTCTCTCACTGTCCACTCTGCTTGCCACCCATGAGGGAGACCTGAATGGAGTTCCAGCCTCCTGGTTTCGGCTTGGCCCCAGCCCTGGCTCTTGTGGCCATGTAGGGAGTGAACCAGCAGATGGAAGATTTCTTTTCCTTTCTCTGTGTCACTCTGCCTTTCAAATAAATAAATAATAAATAATCTTTTTAAAAGTTGTCAATAAAAAATAAATTAGGTGAATATTTTTAAATGCAATTTTCTTTTTTTTAAAGATGTTATTTATTATTTAAAAGGCAGAGTTACAAAGAGGCAGAGACAGAGACAGAAAGAGGGGTGTTCCATTTCCTGGTTCACTCCCCAAATGGCCCAAAAGCCAGAGCTGGGCCAATTCGAAGCCAGGAACCAGGAGCTTCTTCCAGGTCTCCCATGCAGATGCAGAGAGATGGACCATCTTGTGCTGCTTTCCCAGGCCATAGCAGGGTGTTGGATTGGAAGTGGATTGGGTCAGCACTATGGTGCAACAGGTTAAATCCCTGGCCTAAAGTGCCAGAATCCCAAATGGGTGCCAGTTCTAGTCCTGGCTGCTCTTCTTCCTTGGGCCTCTGCACCTGCGTGGGAGACCTGGAAGAAGTTCCTGGCTCCTGGCTTTGGATCGGCACAGCTCCGGCCGTTGTGACCATCTAGGGAGTAAACCAACAGATGGAAGACCTCTCTCTCTGTCTCTACCTCTCTCTGTAACTCTGTCTTTCAAATAAATACAATAAATCTTTAAAAAAAAAAAAAAAAGAAGTGGAGCAGCTGGGACTTGAACCAGCGCCCATCGGGATACCGGCACTGTAGGCAGAAGGCTTTACCCACTATGCCACAGTGCTGGCCCCAGGTGAAATATTTTACAAGTTAGGTGTCAACAATACAAAAAAGTTTCTGGTTCAATATGGCAACATGACTCTCCTAAAACATTAATAAATTATGGAAAACCACATCTAAAGGTATAAAACAAAGAACACAGGAAGAGTTAATAGTAAAAGAGAGATTGTGCGAAAGTCGTGGAAGTTAGAAAACGGTTGGAGTTTTGGAATAGGAGCCTGAAGCAGCCACTACCGAGGACAAGGGAGGAGACAAGGGGGCTGTGTGCTCTGAGAGCCCTGGAAGGCTCACAACTGAGAAGAACTAGGGTGCAGGGGCATAGGAGGGAGACATGTGATAAAAGTAGGCAACTAATTGATCACTATGGACCTAAGCCCCCACTCCCGTGTAGCATACAGGCAGTCAGACGACTTCCCAGGCAGAGGTAACAAAAGCTCTTCTCTTTTTAAAAAGATGTATTTGGAAGGCAGAGTTACAGAGATGGGCAGACAACTGGAGGGAGGGAGTGGAGGAGGGAGGGAGAAAGGGGGAGATAGAGAAAGAGGTGGAGAGAGAATGAATGAATGAATGAATGAATCTTCTATCTGCTGGTTCACTTCCAAATGAGCACAACAGCCAGAGCTGGGCCAGGCTGAAGCCTGGAATTCCACCTGGGTCTCCCACGTGGGTGGCACGGGCCCAAGTACTTGGGCCCTCTTCCGCTGCTTTCCCGATGCATTTCCATGGAACTAAACCTGGAACCGCTGCTCAAATGGGATGACCGTGTCACCAAAGGCCACTTAACCCACTGCGCTACAAGGTTGACCCTAGCGAAAGGTCGTCACTGCAGAAATTGCCAAAATGTGTCAGAAACTTGCATAGGTTGTGACACCTGGGGCCAAGACCCCACAGAATTATGGCAGCCTGTGTCCCTTAGCACACAGCTGGTGAACCAGCCCCATTTCATTCATTGAGAACTGCCTGTAGGTACGACCTCACTCACATTCAGAAAGCCGTCACTCAGTCATCTTACTATTTCCTAACTATAAACAGGAACAAAGTATCCCTGGTCCTTTAAGGAAACTCAGTATATAGGTGATGAAGGCCTAGAAAATAAGTCATAAAAAAGAGAGAAACAGACAAGAGCAATACCTTGCAAGAAACAGATAATCTAGGAATAACAACAAACTTTAAAAAATGTAACTCACGTCACAGAGACATTAGGGAACACAGTGCACCTCTTAAAACAAGAACAGTATGCTCCATAAAAACAGAGGACACAGTGAAAAATGCATGATAGACTCAGAAAGTATTCTTGGTATTAAAAGATCTATCAGACTTAAACATCAGTTGAATTGTTGAACAGTAAAGTAAGTGAATTTCAAAAAAGGTGAAACAAATCTAAAAAGAAAGGAAAACATAACGGAAATGTAGGAGAGAAAAAAAAGCTAATCTTGGAGGCCCATCCCAACTCATAGACATTTCAGAAAGAGGAACCGAGTTAACTAAAGAGAGGGACTAGACAAAACAGTTTTTCTTAGAACTGAAGGTCATTCGTGGTGAGGTTGAACATATCCACTGGATGTTCAAAACGATTACAAAATGCAGGTGGCCATTAGCTGTGCTATTTGAAATTGGAGAAAGCTGGGGTCAGTAAACAGGCCTTGCCAGCTCCCAGAGGGGAGGAAAGCCAGACACTCCCAGAGGAACTAGAGTCTGATTGGCTCAGTCTTCTCGTGAGTTGTAGAAAAAGAAAGGGAAGCAATGTCTTAAAATTGCTGAAGGAAAAAAATCTTCAATCTAGATTTGTACAACCAGCTTAATTATCAATGAGGTCTGAGATTTGCTTCTGGTGTGCTCAGTTTTACAAGCAAAATGGGGATGGAGAGAGGTGATCTAAGAAATAATGAGATGAGCCTGCCATACAGAAAATGTTGGCTGGAGTCCAGGAGAGTGATGAGGGCTGTCTCCGCCTGTCTGTCGGGCAGTTTGGAGAGAAATTTCTGAAGACTGGAGCAGGATGGGAGAAGGCTCAGGGAGGGGTGTATTTAGGTGAATATAGATTCCTTGAGAATCTGAAAAACCTAAGGAGACAACAGTGACAGATAATTCAACACAAAAGAAAGGTAACAGAAAACTCCAGGAAAAACAAAAAGCTTTATAAGGGAGTAGAATTATAGTTGTGCATGAAATAGTTACTTTGTCATGACAATTTTAAAATAATTTTCAATTTTATATTGATATTATAAAAAAGTACATGAAACAACTTTGTGAATGAAAAACAGAAGGTAGTGTTGCCATCTTTTTATATAAACAAAAAATACAAAGAATACTATTTGGCGACAGATGGGAGGAGACCTAACATGTAAAATCAAGCGATATTAGTGGTTGATCGAGAAATGTGAAAATGCATTAATTAAAGTTGAAAAGATGCATAGTGTAGAAAATAAAAATAGTGATGTATAAATATTAGGAAGAGGTGTGGAAAGTGGCAAAAGAAAGCTGTATTTGCATTTTGCATAGCATGAAGGTTTTGACAATGCCCAGGTGTATAAATATATTATTTAGCAGTATGGCTGTAATCACCAGAAGAAGGCAAATCATAACAGTTGAAAACATTCAAGATGGTTTTGTATAAGTTGTAACAGGTAGAAAAAATTGGGGCATGGGCATGTAGCTTTTTATCGTAAGTCATTCTATGTTGTTTTTAAAACCATAGGGTGGGTGTTTGTCCTTGTGGTTAAGACACTTGCAACTCCAATCACAGTACCTGGGGCTTAAGCCAGATTCTACCTCCTGACTCCAGCTTCCTGCTAATTTAGATCTTGGGAGGCAAGCAGAGGATGGCTCAAGTAATTGGATTCCTGTCACCCATGTGAGGGACCAGGATCGAGTTCTAGCTCCCTGCTTCAGCCTCAGGCTGGGCCCCACCATTGTGAGCAATTGGGTAGCAAATCAGTGGATAGAAACTCTTTCTCTCTTCATCTCAAATAAAAAAATAATTTTAAGTGTATATTCTTTACTTTGATAACAGTTTTAAATATTACACAAATATGAAGATTTATGGACAGAGAACTCATCTTGGGGAAATTTTCACCAGATCAAAAGCCTGTCTTTCATGTCAGGCTCCTGCCTACGCCTGCACAGGGTCCTTCCTCCTGTGTCAGGCCTTCCCCTGATCAGACATTCTCCCAACTTCTAAGACGGTACTTTGGATGGGAGATTGTTTGCAGGTTTATGTGTGAAATCCAGAACAGAACTGCTGAGATTCATAGTAGGTGTCCCAGAAAATTCCTGACTGTATCAAGATGAGATAAAAAGAAGTGAGCAGGTTGTGGAAGCAGCTGGGAGGAGCTGTCCTAAGGGAACATGGGCCCTTTTGATGTCACAATGAAGTCAGTGCTGCTTGGGATGGCAGTTAAGATACAATTCAATCCCAGACTCTATGCCCCACACAGCAAGGGCTGAATTATGCACTTACTATGTCAGTTACTTTGTACTTGTTATAGTTGATCGCCACAGTTCCATGCCATTAGTATCGTCACTGCCAATTCAGTTGAAGAAGAGAGGCTCAAGAGAGTGTAGGTAACTTGCTCAAGATTTCACAGTCAATGCATGGGAGCTAAGGGTGTGAATCCTGCTCAGCTGACTGCGTTCCAGTCACGCTGCCTTCCTGCCTCCCTTTCTTTTTTATTTTTTAAAAATATTTATTTTATTTGAGAGAGTTACAGAGAGGGAGACACACACACACATACACACACAGAGAGAGAATTTTCCATCTGCTGGTTCACTCCCCAAGTAGCTGCATCAGCTGGGGCTGGGCCAGGCTGAAGCCAGGAGCCAGGAACTTCATCTGGGCCTCCCAGGTGAGTGCAGGGGCCCAAGTACTTGGACCATATTCTGCTGCTTTCCCAGGCACATGGGGCTGGATCAGAGGTGGAGCACCCAAGACTCACACCAGCACCCATATGGGAGGCAGCAGTTTAACCTGCTGGGTCACAATGCCCTTTCTCCCTCCTTCCTTTCTTTCCCTGTCTTTCCTTCCCTTCCTCCTCCCCCACCCCCTTCTTTATTTCTCTAGTCATTACCAACATGCATGCAGTTCTTGGATTCTTGGAGTTACCTGCTAATTTTTGGAGTTTTCCTTTATGTCCTCCTTCCTATCTCTGTCAATACATTACATCACCAGCAACTTAACTCTGTTTTGAGTTCTGTCCTTGGAAACAGACCGCCTCCATCTGAACCTTGCTCTGTGTGTGATCAGCCCCTCCTGTGGTGCTGAGCAGTGAGATGGCCTCTGCGGCCTGTGGCGGCCTCACCTGTGGAAAGGCCATTATCATCCATTCACTGGGGATCGAATGAGCTGGTCTATACAAAGCTCTACAGCCAGTGCCTGACGCCATTACCTTCTGGCCTTCTCAAGCAAGTTTGGGCTTTCCTTCCCCCATCTCCCTCATTTGGAAGACTTCTATGAAGAGTTCTATGATAACAGACTGCTTAGCAATTTTACTTCTGGTTTGCAACCACTATGCAATATTTTGTTGTGTTCGTTTTGTATTTTTCATTTAAGAGCACTTAGAATGGGGGACCCATGCTAGGACTCACTAGAAAGCCGCCACTTTTCTCAGGGGTCCAAATAGTCAAATAAACATTGGGTACCCTGTGTATTCATTTATCTATTGACTCATTCATTCTCTGTGCCATGTGCCGGGTTTGCTGATAGGAGTAAGGTGACCACACACCGGTGTTCCAACTCTATCTACAAAAAGGCAGGCAAAATACGGTTCCCAGGTTGGTATTTGATCTTTGGTGTGTGTGAGTGCTAGCTGCTGTCGGAATTAAGATAATGGTGTCTGGAATTCTGAATGTGCCTCTGTTAAGTCACTTGTAATCTGTTAACATTGAACAATTAAATGGTTGTGGAATAGTACAGCAGTGTGGGCCAAAAATCCTGTCAATGAATGCAAGAGGATCTTAAGCAGCTTATTGAAATAAAAAAGGTAAAGTTTCAAAAAATGGTATTCAGCCTTTATTCTGTGATGAGAAGAAAAATGCCAGTGCTTTAATTGCAAACATGATTTCCTGAAGCATTCCAAGTTTTCCTTGGAGACTTCCAGGGCCAGGGATTGACTATCCTTGTGCCTACTTGGATAGAAAAGGGCTTGATAAAAGTGCTCTGTCTGCTGGCACAGTTTAATCACTTAATACCTTGTTCCAATTGAAAACATAACCCAAGCCCATTCAGATGATGGAGCACCTATACTTGATCTGTCTATGGCTTGTGCAGTCACTGATATTTCCAAGGGAAGTCTTGTGATTATCGAAATGGAAATTAATTTCATAGACTTGGGGCTGAACTGAAAAAAAAATGCTCATTCTTGTAATCCGCTGAGGATAATTCCTGAAAATGTTTCTCAGAGTAAATAAACTCAGGACCAGTCTGAAAGGAATGGGCTTGTGTGGGGGCTGGGGACTGGGAGCAGAGGTGTGATTGGGGTTGGGTGGAGACCTGAGAATTGAGAAAATATTCTTTCTTATTAGAGGAAAAGACAACTTCAAGGATACTATCAGAGTATTTTCTATGTAGTTCTTGATTTTTATGATGGATGAAATGAGCAAGCTCTTTTCCAGAGAAAGGTATCAAATCATCAAAGGTAATAATAATTCAATACACTTCAGAGAAAAAAATCAAGCTCTTCTTAGGGGTAGAAAATGCTGACAGATATCAACATTGCTAAGTACTCCATCCCCTACACCTAAGAGCAGTGCAAGTGGAGAAGTTCATGTAGCTGTGGTGCCCTTGAACTATTTTAGGAACTGTTTCATCCATGCAAAGGAAGAGCCACAGTAAGGAGCAAACGAGAAACAAGAAAGGATTGCAAACAAGTGCAGCTTGTGGCATCGACTTCTAAATGATGGGTTTTGGTGCTTGCTCTGAAAAACATCAAATAACCACAGACCCAGTGGCTCTGCCCAGTGTCCAAAGGTTCATGAACCCTTCCTTAGGACTCCACTGTGTCCGGAGTTCATCTCATTCCATATCTTTACTGGGTGGGTGCGTTGGGGTCCATAGGGATACGGTATCTCTTTCAAGGTCATTAGATACCTAGAGGAAGACTAAGGACTGGAATCTCTTCATTGACCGCTTACTGCTCTTTGTAGTATTGCACATTCCAGGATGGCCAGAAAGAAACGTTACTAATATCCCAGATGGAGATGCTGTGGTAGCATGGTTGCGCTCTCATGACGATGGTTCTTAAAACTTCTCTGAATCACAGATCTGATTAGGAATCTAGTGAGAGACATGCGTCCTTTACACAGAAGTCATACACATGCACAGAGATGCACGTAGGTGATGGGTCAGCCTCAGAGGTCTTGCAGAGAGCTAAAACATAGGGCATTTTTGGTGCTGATTCTTTAAACATTACAGGAAAATTTTCATAGTATGAGCGCCTTATTATAACTATTCAAAAAAGTTTTGAACTGTAGATTAGCTAGTTGAAGTTCTCAAGTTCACAAGGCTAAGATTTGGTAAGGACGAAACTCTTAAGTGCCCCCAGCTAGAAGACTATGTTGCTATATCATGTTGGACCCATATGCAAAACTATGGGCACTACACTTAGATCTACTCTCTAAGTAGATTTTAACTGACAAACTTCACTTGTAAAAGGGTTCATTGCTTAGCACTAATTACACTCTGATTTCTACCCAAGCACACATCATGAGGTAAAAAGAGGAATTAAATATTTCTCTATATTTATTAAATCAGAAATCTCATTAACGTGAATATCCTGATTGCTCCATTTTTTAAGTGACACCTATTTCTAACTCAATTATGGAAAAACTGCAGCATATTTATTTTTTCAGATCTGGAAGCATAGTTTTCACGAAGCTTTACAAAGAAATTTCAAAAATTCTTTTGTACCATTTGAAAATGGAAACACTTTCTGAGTTGTTAAATTGACACATTTGTTAACAAACGGTTTCAGCGCACGCATCGAACACAAACACGCAGAACAAACAGGAAACACATCGATCACGTGCTACTAGGGAGGGTTCTAATCGCGCGGAGTTAGCGGAGAAACTTGTGCGGACCCCTGGGGCTGGAGCGAGCCCTGGCGCCGGCTGTGCTCGGGCGGGGAGCCCAGAGCCCGGGACGCTGCTGGTCCTGTCCGGGCGTGGCCGCCGTCCCCCGAGCCCCTACCGTTTTTGAGCACCCTTTGGGCAGGAGTCGTCCCCACTTTTGCTCTCATCCCCGACCCTTGCGAGCTTTGGGGAGGGAGAGTTATTTTGACTTGAGGCCCCGTCCAAAAGCCTGGGTTCTGGAAGGCGTAAGTGCCCGGTGAGCAACTGCACTCCGGGCTCGCAGCCCGCTCCCCGCGCCCTGTGTCCGCGGCTGGCGCGCAGGGGCCACGTCCCCCGCCCGTGCGCTCAGCAGCCTAGGCCAGAGCGCAGCTCGGCTGGGGCTCCTGGGCACCCCCGCCACGCCCCACCACGGCTGTCCAGATGCGATTCTGGCGCTGGGCTTTGAGCGGCCCTCGCTCCCCAGAGGCCTGGGACCCCTGGGACCCCTGGGACCCCCGGGATCAAAGGCCCAGGACCGGGTTCCGCTCCTCTGCGCGCAGGAAGCACTTGCTGCAAGTTGTGCCAACTTCGCCCCGGTGGTTTTCGACCCGCTCCCTCCGCCGCCTCCAGCCGCGGTGCTGGAAGACACAGGCGCGGCGCCAAGGGCAAGAGGCGCGCGGGGCAGGCTGCTGGCGCACTCGAGCCCAGCACGCGTGGGAACGGGTGACACGGGTGACGGGCGACACACCTGATTCTCGCCTCTCCTGCAGGACCTTGCTTGGGCTCTATTTTTTTTGTTTGCTTCTTTTTACCTTTTAAAACATTTTTTGCTTTCTCCTCCTGTCTGGAAGCACGTGCCAGGGTTTCTGTTCCCCCTTTCCGCGGTACAACCTCCCTGCTCTTTCTGTCACCCCTAGCCCCCAAGATGAAGGCGGTGGCAGCCCCAGTGGGCGACGTGTCCCGTGACCAGAGACAGAGGTCGTAGGAGTCGGCCCCAGGAATGGGGGTCCTTATCTCTGGGCACGTTTCCCCCACCGCGGATGGAAGGCAGGTGTCGGCGAGAATGGCTGGGCCATGCCCTATCCAGACCACCCTCCTGGGGGATTCAGAGAGACTTTTTTGGGGGGAGGAGGCGACGCTCGCCTCTTTTTTTGTTATGAATTCCCCAAAAGGAAAGCAGGCGAGGTGGGGGTGGGGGTGGGCGTGGTGGGGACCGTGGAAGAAAAGGAAAAGCCAACAGGAGCCATTCAGATGGTATATTTTGTATAAAGAAATGATACACGTGTAATTTTAGATTTTCGTCGGAATTGGAGTTCTGAGGCTATAGGAAACCTATTTTTAACACCTCCTCCTCTCATAACGGCCTTGATTGCTTAAATTGCTTCTAATTGGGCGGCGCACACACTGGAGACGCAGAGCGCATGACAAACAGCCTTCACTCTCTCGGATGTAGATAAGGTCTCGGGATAAATATCTTTTCTGATCAAGCAAGACTAGAAAGCTCGCAACGTGTCCGCAGTTTTCCTAAGGGATCTGTGCAGGGCGGGGAGGGCGGTATTCCCAGGATCCACAGCTGAACATTTCACAGCGCGCAGCTCCTGCGGGCTCCGACCCCGCTGCCACCCCCACCCCGCCCCGCTCCTTGAACTCAGCTCTCCTTCCTTCCTTCCTTCTTTTCTGGCATTTGCAGAAGTTTTCGGAAGACTTTTCTCAAAACATGCCGGTGACCCACTCCCCTTGCCCGAGGCTGGGGCTGCGCCTAGTGCGCAGGGCTGCGCGCCGGCCTCGACGGCAGCGAGCGGAGGTCACGCCTGGCCGAAGCGCGCGGTTCGTGGGAGAGGCCGCGCGGGGCGGGTGCCCGAGGGCCGGGGGTGGGGATGGGGTGGCTCTGGGACCACCGGGAGGTGTAACCCCGACGTGAGCGTGCTGCGGGCGCGCGTCCCAAGTGTGGGCTGGACTTAATCGGGTGCTTTGTGGCGGCAGTTCCAAGGTGCTCGCCCCTCGCCCGCTCCCCCAGGCTCACGGACCTCTGGGGCTGGTGGAGGCTGAAACCTTGGGCACTTGGGACCTGGCTGACCTGGAGCTACACATCTCGTTGCTGCTCCACACTGCAGAGTCACTGTTTCCGTACCCGGAAAACAGGCCCGTCCCAACTTAAATGGCACCGGACTTTTCCCTAAAGAATATATACGCATATATATATATATATATGTATGTATGTATGGAGATTATATATATATGGAAAAGAATATATATGTGTGTGTGTGTGTGTGTGTGTGTGTGTGTATTCCATATATATATGGAAAAGAACAATCCCGGAATGTCAAGAGGAAGCGTCGAGGCCGAGTTCTGGGGGAAGCGGGAAGCCCAGGCCGGGCACAGCTTTCCCTTCCGCCTGTCTCTGCATCCAAAATCCCTCGACGTTGCGAAATCTCAACGCTTCTGTCGCACCCAAGGTCCCCCGGGGTCATTTTACCAACCCCAAAGAAAGCGATGTGCAACCAGGGCCTTCCAAACTGGTCCCTGCCAGAGCCCCTCGCGGGGCGGGCGCCTTGCTGGCGAGGTCCCCGCCTGCGCGCTCCGGCTTCGAAGGCCCGGGGACATACAGCAGGTGCAGAGCACAGGAAACTCGGGTTCCTGGTAACCCTTGCAGGATCCGAGGAATTCCTCCGACGTAAGGGAGGCTTGGACGCGGCAGTTTAACATATCAGGGGGTAGCATATACACTCCCACTGTAAAAATAAATACATATATACAAATATATATAAATACAAATATATGTATATATTTTTATATATGTATATGTATTTATTTTTAACACACACATATATAAAACACACACATATATAAATATAAATATAAATATAAATATAAATATAAATATAAATATAAATAAAAGGTGTGTGTGTGTGTGTGACCTGGGCGATTCTTACCCGATTCTCTGGCTGCCAAACAGCAATTGCCCGGAAACGAAATTGGCATTGCACGAGAGCCAGGTAAAACGCAGAGCCCCTGGCCACATGTGAGACTCCATAGAGGGGCCTTCCCGCCAGTACTTTAGGCAGAGAAAGGAAAAGGAAAAAAGGGAGGCGCGCGCGCGCCAGAGAGAGAGAGAGAGAGAGAGAGGAGAGAGGGGAGAGGGGGGATATTTAGCAAGTTAAGAGGTTAAATATTTGAACAGATTTGCAAACAGACAGCCCTTGTTATTTGGGTTGTGTAATAATGCCCTTTTGTGGTGCTGTCTGGCTGCGAGGCTGCCGAGGGAACCCCTCCCTGGCTGCTCCTTCCCTGGGAATCCAACGAGAAAGCCCAAGGACTCGCAAAATAAGAACGGGGCCACCCTCCTTTGGAGGGAAAGGGATTTTCCTTGGATCCTGTCGGAAAAAGCCCGGGAGAGAGAGTAGGGCAGGCGGCCCAAGGGCCAGGTGTGCTTCCT